TTTACAAGGTCAGTGTGGCCCAGAACCAAAACCTGGCTTTCACAGAAAGCTAAATTAGAGACCAGTAACCAGCAAGGTCTAGTGTGAGAGCAGAAGGCCACCTCTCAACCGGGTCCCAGCTGGTGTGCTAGGACATGGTTGGAACCAATGCCTCCCTCAGCCAACGGGAAGGGAAGGGAAGGTCACCCGGGCGCAGGGCAAGTGGCCAGGCCTAAGCATGCCACACTTATGTGAAAGCATGAACGGTACCCCTGAGACTCAGGAGATGGCAGGGATGCCCATATTCACTCCTGCAAACTGTGGCACTTTCAAATGCTACAGTGTTAGAGAGAGAGAGAGAGAGAGAGAGAGAGAGAGAGAGAGAGAGAGAGAGAGAGAGAGAGAGAGAGAGAGAGAGAGAGAGAGAGAGAGAGAGGATGCTGTGGGGTTAGACTTGGCTCATTGGTTAAGAAAGTCTACTGCTCTTGCAGGGAACCCAAATTCAGTTCTCAGCACCCAGATCAGGCAGCTTAACCATTTGTAACTCCAACTTCAGGAATCCAAAACCTTGTTCGGGAGAATTTTACTCCTGGTGCACATACCCACAGACAAACAGACACACATATAACTAAAAAAAAATCTTAAAAAAAAGAGGAAGAGGTAAAACTGTTAATACTTGCAGGAGGGAAGACTCATTACACAGAAAACCCCTGGAAAATTTATAAGACAATCTACAGGGTTGATTTAGTCCAGCAACAATTAGAAATGAAATTTAAGAAAGCAAAACTAGTCGGGCGGTGGTGGCGCATGCCTTTTTCCCCAGCACTCGGGAGACAGAGGCAGATGGATCTCTGTGAGTTCAAGGTCAGCCTGGTCTACAGAGCGAGTTTCAGGAAAGCCAGGACTACACAGAGAAATCCTGTTTCCAAAAAGCCAATCAAAAAAATAAAATAAAATAAACAAAGCAACCCCTTCACCCAGTGCCACATATGAAAAGCACTTGAAGATAAATTAAAAATACATTCAAAAAATGTATTTTATGGGTGTTTTGCCTGTCTGTCTGTCTGTCTATCTGTATATCACATGAATGCCAAGTGCCCATGGAGGACAGAAGAGGGCATGAGATCCCCTGGAACTGAAGTTCTGGATTGCTGTGAATCACTGTGTGTTTTAGAAACTGGATCTGGGTCATCTGTGATAGTAACACATATTCCTAACTACTGAATCCCTCTCTAGCCCACTTGGAGATAAATCTAATAGTAAACAGGCCAGATGCAGCAGCTCATGCCTGTAATCCCCACCACTTAGGAGCTGAGGGGAGAAGGGTTCCCTTGAGTTTGCAGCCAGTCTAAGCTATATAATGAGTTCCAGGCTCTAGGCTACAGAGTTAAGACTCCACCTAAATGAACAGAATAGTCAGGCCTGGTGGTGCATATGTCCAATCTTAGCATTTGAGAAGTGCAGGCAGTTCTAGACCAGCCTGAGATACATGATGCCCTGCTCTGAAAACCAGTCAACCAATCAAACCAAACCAAGCAACCAGCAACCAAACACCCCAGACCCATAGTGAACCACATGCAGAATTCTGTTCTTTTAAAAGTGATTTCTAGGGAACAGCTGCAAAGCCACCTGGAACCCTGACTCAAAATCAGGCTTTTTTTTTTTTTGGTCTTGGTTTTGGTTCAAGGTCTTACCACACGGCTTGGCTGGCCTGGAACTCATAGAGACCTGTTTATGTCTGCTGCCTTCAAGTACTAAGACCAAAGGTGTATACCACCACAGCCTGCTCCTTTCCAGATTTTCAATTTGTGTGTAGACTCTGAGCGCTGTGGCTCCCTAACAGGGAATTAAGTCAGTCTCTTTCCCATCGCTGCTCAGCCTCTAATTGTCTTCCTAACACTCTTTCTGCACTGTCTCATCCAGTGTCTACCAGCCCCCCCCCCCCCCGGGACTGGAAAAGTTAAAATTAAATAAAATGAGGCTTGGGAAGATGACTCGGTGGACAAGAATCCTTGCTGTGTGAGTATAAGGACTCATGTTGGGACTCATTCATTCAAGAAGCTGTAGAGCAGTCAGGAGTGGTGGTGCACGCCCTTAGTCCCAGTACTCGGGAGGCAGAAGACACAGTGAGTTCAGAGGCAGCCCGGTCTACTAAGCAAGTTCCAGGACAGTCAGGGCTACACAGAGAAACCCTGTCTCGAGGCAGATGCAAGAGGATCTCTGTGAGTTCAAGGCCAGCCTGGTCTTCAAAGAGAGTTCCAGGATAGTCTCTGAACCTACAGACAAACCCTGCCTCGAAAAATAAAAACAAGGACTGGATAGATGGCTCAGAGGATAAGACACTGCCTGCTCTTCCAGAGGTCCTGAGTTCAATTCCCAGCAACCACATGGTGTCTCACAATCATCTGTAATGAAGCCTGGTGCCCTATTCTGGCCTGCGGGCATACAGACATATGCTGTATACATAATAAATAAATAAATGTTAAAAAAAGAAAAATAACAACAAAACAACAAAAAACAAACCAGCCGGGGTGCACCTGCAATCCACACCTACTACAGGGGGCCTGGGACAGGGAGATTTGAGGGGCTTGTTAGTTGCCCGGCTAGCTAGCTCCAGGCTCAGTGAGAAACCTGGACTCAAGACAACAAGGCAGAGAGTGAAGGAGCAGGGCACCTGATGTGCTCTTCCCCATGTGCACACACGTGTGTATGCGCCTGCACACTCACATGCACGAGCACACACATGCATAAGAGAGTACATGAAAATGCAGGTACCAGTTCTTCAGTAACACAGGCCCCACAGGGCTATACCAGGCAACAAAGATCAGGACCCTGCCATCCTGGAGAGTTCCGGGTAGGCACCGCAGCACACTGCAGAGGGAGCCTACACGAGGGTGCTCACTTCCCTTCTAATGACTTTGCTGGGCCAGTGGGGAGTCAGGGCATGCAGCCTGATGGCTAGATGCTTAAGGGCTATAAAACAGGGCTTTCACAAAACATGGAGAATGGTGCTGGCAGTGTGAAGGGTTTCACACCAGACACAAGTCCGTTCACTGCTGCTAGTCTGTACTGACTTTACAGTGCAGATTGAACTTACAGTGGCGCACTGATTGGGTTTACAGTGTATCGACTGAACTTATTAAGCAGCTGGGATTAGAAACGTGTGACCCGGGGGTGGGGGCTGGGTCAAAAAAAAAAAGACACAATGTCTCCATTGGGGTGGGAACCACATCCTGGGAGAGGATATCCAGTTCAGTTGGTAGAATGCTTGCTGGCCCCTCACGCACACAGACCTGGGGTTGACCCCTGGAACCACATAAACCAGGTATACCATGCAGCACGTACCGGTATTCTCAGCACCCAGGAGGTGGAGGTAGGAAGATCAAACATTCAAGGTCATCCTCTATTGCATAGCAAGTTCAAAGCCAGCCAGGTAGCCAAGATACATGAAAAGCCGAGAGAGAGAGAGGAGAGAGAGAGGAGAGAGAGAGGAGAGAGAGAGAGAGAGAGAGAGAGAGAGAGAGAGAGAGAGAGAGAGAGAGAGAGAGAGAGAGAGAGAGAGAGAGAGAGAGAGAGAGAGAGAGAGAGAGAGAGAGACCCCCGAACGTGCTGTGCTTTACCCGACAAGCATCCTTCAACTGGTTCATAGTACTTCTTCTAAACATTTTGTTTCCATTTTGCCTCAGGATATTAAATCCCACGGGGGGGGGAGAGGGGGCGCATTACTGTTTCTGCTACAAACCGGCAGGCTTCATCACATGCATTTGTGATCTATTTGTTTTTTTTTTTCACGTGGAACACATTTAGAAACTGGAGTATTGTTTTGTCACTTGACAATTCACACATTGCATGTTTTTTTGTTGACTTAATTACATGTCACTCACAGAAAAAAAGAAAAAAGAAAAAAGAAAAAAGCGTTCCTGCTGCGTGCGTGGTGGCGGCACACGCTTTTAACCCCGGCAGTCGGGAGCCAGACAGGCAGGCATCTCTCGAGCTCCAGGCCAGCCAGGGTTACAACAGGGAGAGCTTGTCTCAAAAACAAAACGAAGCATGCGTTCCTTTCCACGCCACTGCTGTCTGGCGCTGGCCCTACGGGGTGTCTTGTGGGACTTTTCATGCGTGCGGGCCGGAGGGGCAGCTTGCTTCTCCCCCAGCAGTGCTCAAAGGCCCCGGGACTGGCTCACAGGGCGGGCAGGGAAGCCTCTGACAGCTCCGGAACTGCTCCCTAGTCTAAGTCCTTCAGGCTCCTGCGTAGGAACAAGGACATTTGCCCTGGAGGAGCATCTCGATAGGTCCTCGGTGTGCAGAATGCTTCACCCGACCTTTAAAAAAAATTGCCTCGAACTCCTAGCAATCCTCCGGTCTCCGCTTCCCGGCGTGCGCCAGCCACCACGCTCTAGCCGAGGTTAGAACACGCGGGCCATTCTCACAGAGCGAGCGCAAAAGGAGCACAGACATCGCCGCCCCGCCCGTCTCCCCGTCCCCCCGCCCGCCTGCCGCCCCGGAACGTACACCTGAGACTCCTTGTCTGCACGCACCGGCTCCCGGCAGCTACAACATCCGGCTGCTCTCTGACTGCTTCCGGGCCGAGCGCCCGGCCGCAGCGGCGCAAACGCACCAGTGCGCAAACACGGAAGTCGCGGCGCCGCCCCCCCTCCCTCCCCGGTCGGCAACCCCGCCACGCAGGAAGCTGAGGCAGCAGGATGATCGTTGAGTTCCAGCCCAGCCTGGGATGCACGCTGAGCCCGGCTCACAAGACCAGGGGAAGAGTCAGGTGTGCGAGGGGAGCACGTCGAGGAACCGAGGCAGGGGACTCTCTCTGAGTTCGAGGCCAGCCCGGTGTCTACACCGTGAGTCCCCGGACAACCAGGCAGGGACACACACTCGGGGAGTCTCTGTCTAAAACCAACCAACCAAAAACCACAAAGGGGTCAGAAGGAGCCAGGGCGTTTTAAACGTGTGCTGCGTTGGCAAATCAACACGATGGATTCAACCTCTTCGAATAAGCAGAAAGGAAGTAATGGCTTTTAAAAAACAAACACGTTTTAATGGAAATGGAAAGTCTTCCCTCTTTGTACAGTTTTGAACGGACGCTCGCCACTGAAGCCCCACGCCTGAACAACCGGTACTACCGCAAAGGAAGACGCTTCCTTGCTGGTCCAGGCCCTCTTCTGCCCGGCGCCTCTGTGGACATCTTCAGCCTCTCACTGATAAAGCTAGACCCGGACCAAGTTCACCAAGTGCTGGAGGGACGTTGGGGAAACAGGAGGAAGAATGAGCAGCGATTTCCAAATCCCCCCTTTTGTATCTTTTCTGGCCTTCAGTAGGAGGAGTCATTAAAACAAACAAACAAACAAACAACGCACGCACAGTCAACCACACCTGCATGAAGGATTCATTTCAGCTAGGGCTTTTCCAAACACTCATGTTACAGAAGAAAAACTATTAATACAGTCCATGAAAAAGAACCGCCAGCCGGCATCGCTTTCCCCCACAAAATTACATAAACGTGAACAAAAAACGTTAAATAAACATCATTATTAATCATTAAATATATTAACACCAAAATCATGTATAAATTAGGAAATAAATGTACAAACTTATTCCACAAAGTGCTTTTAAAAATATATACACAACATTCAAGAAATTCTTAATGTAAGACATTTCAGATGGAAGTTTTTGGGGTGGTACATTTTTTTAAGTGTCCTTTCAAAAAGTATTAACACGGTACTTACACACACATTAATACAGCGCCTAACATACACGTACACTCGTATTAATACAGCACTTCACACACACACACACACACACACGTACATACGTATGCACACACAGGTAAAAGGCATATTCCCAGATTGGCAAGGAATAAAAACCATTTTCACAGTTACTTAAAATGTTTCGGCATTTCCAGTGGGAAATTTTAGGCCTCAATTGAGCTTGTAGGCTAGTTTTTCCAAAATTCACCAGGAAAGAAAAGGGAGCAAAGGAGCGGACCCCCTAAAATGAAGTTGCTAATACTCTGTCACTCAGCGATCAGAAATTAGTGCCGTCATACAGTCAGCCCTTGCCAGTGTTAAGGGTTTCCTAAACCCTATGCCTATGAGACACACATGCCCGAGTTTGTTAACCAGTCCTACAGGAAAGGGGGAGAATGTCCTAGAATACGACCGTAGCCAACACAGATAAGTCCTTCTAGTCTGGCCCTTGATTCTTCATGTGTAAGTGAAATAAACAGTCCTTGCTCTGTATATTCTAGCAAGGCTGTCAAGATTAATTCAAGTAAAACCCACAAAAGTGCCTTGTAAATCCTCACCCACTGAGCTGCAGGTTAAGGTCTGCATTTTAAACACTATCAGGTGTGGTGCATGCCTGTAGTATCAGTCCTTGGGAAGTGGAGGCAGGAGGATCATAAAACTCAGGGTCGGCCTTAGCGACGTATTGAGTTTGAGGCCAGAGTCTGGACTACATAAGACCTTGTCTAAAAACACAAATAAAATAAAAGCATCATGTTGGATAGGCCTGATGCACCAGGCCCTGGATCCTTTTTTTTTTTTTTTTATCTTCTTGGTTGTTCTTAGAAATACACCAGCACTTATCTTAAAGGCTTTCCCCCATTTTCATTGTAACATGTTTATCACTGTCCAAATAGAGGCTGAGAAATGCCAGTGCTACATTATATGTGGTATTTTCCTTTGACCGTATCTTTCCAAAAAGACTGTTTGTCATGTTTTGCACAGAATTAAAATGAGATTGAACATCCTAGGGATATAAAAAACAAAAGAAAGAAAAAATTTTTACTATATAAAACTTGCCCTTTTCATTTAAAAGAATGTAACAAAGCTATTTAGATTTGTTAAAAACATGGTGTGGATTTCGGATTTCCCTAAGTACAAAGGAACACTTGCTTGCCAATCTGAACTTGGAGGTCCTGAAGAAGTAACAAACACTTGCCAACTGCCAGTGAAGTTAATCATCAGTACTTCCAACTCTCTTTAAGTTTAGGACTGGGCATACTCAAATCCTTGAAATGACATTAAACAAACAAGGGCCAAAGCCACACAAAACACAACGCAGCTGGTAGACAGCTAGCCTTGCTCTTAAGAACACCGCCCTCCCTAGGGTAGGTTACCCTCACACTGCCCTCATGGACACACTCGGAATACAGTCACCGATGCCTCTTCACTGTCTAATACAAAGACATATACTTTTCGTGATCATGGGGACTGGAGAGACACACGCCACGGATGAGTTCTGGAAAGGACAGCTCAGTCTCTCCACATGAAGCACATTTCTTTGTTACAGTGACACAAGAAACTAGTCCAAGACACAGAAGGTGTCCCCAAGCCCTACCTAGGCACAGGAAGAGACGGCCGCCCAGGGTTGTCTATATGTGTGTCAAGCTACGGACGGCCAGTCCCAGAAACACTTACAGTCCACTTCGCAACAATGGTGTGAGAGGGGGCACTCACTGGGTCTGTTCACGGTAACACGGACCACGGTGTCTTTTGGATACTGTGTCATCACTGGGCACAGAACATGTGATGACAGTATGACCCCCCCCCAAAAGCTAGCTAAGAACATCAAGGAGGGGGTGAGGGACAAAACAACAGGACAACCTCTCCATCGCATCGCTATACAATACACAGCACCAAATATGTCACACCATGGCAGCCAGGAGTGCACGCCCATCATCACACCCATGAAATGAGCCTGCTTCACATGCAGACATGGCACTGGGCGCAGAGTAGCCAACATGTCATGACTCAGAACGGCCACTGGCTTGTCCAGAACAGACTACCATGAAGGGTCCAAAGACAACGCGCGTCCCTTATTGCTGGTAATTTCCATACTGGCCCTAAAAGAGAACAAGACACAGATTACACCTCTTCAGTCCTGAGTGCCAAGGTCCGCACCCAAGTGACAAGGAGCGTCTTCTTCCCATAGCCGGAACTGGGTGACAGGTGGAAAGTAACACAAAAGCGAGCAGGTCAACAGTCTGCCCATATCCACCAAGCGAGCAGTGACATGCCTCCAGTCCAGAAGTATGTCTCAGGCTAACCATCACTCCCCCCCGCCCCCAGCCCATTCTCCAATTTTGGCAATCATTTATTTGACCTGTTTTTTTTTTTTTTTTTGGTCAGCCTTACTCACAGGCAGGGCCTGTGAAGACAGCAATGTACCCCCAGTGACGCACCGGGCTCTCTGGTTGTCTCCCTGTGCCCTGAGCACCTTGCTGTCACAGATGGGGCAGCAGGGCTGGTGCCAACGCCAGCTTCGGCTTTTAGGAAATGGCTTAGGGTGAGCCGGTTAACAGGCTCGGTCAACGTAAAATCTGAAGAGAGATTCAGAGCTTGAATCCACAGAACTGCGGGGTTGTCGGAAGCTAACAGAGCCATGCGCCCAGAGGAAGAATCTTCTGGAAGACTGGTGTCCCCATCCCAGCTTCCTTTCTCCACAGCTGGCTAAGCCAGTCTGATAGGTCTCTGGGACGTAAGGACACAACAGGCCCCAAGGACAACCATCAGGGCAGGCAGCAGCGCTTCTGCACAGAGTCTAACCCAGGGCCCTCAGGCCAGCTAGCTACCTCTTCCTTCAGGGACATATGGTAGTGCCTGGAGCTGTTTCTGACCCTCAAACCTGGGGAACAGAGTGGGGGAGTTGACTTGCAGCTAGGGGACACTAGAAAACATATACGCAACAGCTTGCCCATCCTTGCCTTTCGATCCACAGCTAAAAGTCCTGCAGGCTGCACTGAAGGTCTGAAGAGAGGACACCTTGCCCCTGAGATGCCCCTGCTGTGTCCCCTCTGGAGGCAAGTGAGGGCACGACCATTTAGCCTTTTAACTACGCTATCACGCTACTTGCTGGCCCACAGGTACTTGGGATGTTCTTTCCTTGGCCTCTGAGGACGAGATGTCTGTGTCACCAGGACCATCCTAGCAACTCTAGCAACATACTGGCTGCACGCTGCTGCGCTGTCCTGGGAGCCAGTCGGTCCCACCTGTCATTCCCCAGGACCGTAAGAGAAACCCTTGCCAGACATCCACATAGCTTACCTGCTCATAGCCGTAAGGCCGCTGCTGCTGGGCAGAAGGTCCCGTCTGCGATGCTCTGTAGCTTCCATACTGCTGGCCCTGTCCTTGCTGGTAACTCGAGTACTGTGAGGGGGCTCCCTGGGCAGGGCCTGTGAAGACAGCAGAGGCTGTGAGGCCAACCATCAGCAGCTCTCCACATTTGCGAACACCCAGACACGGGGTGCCTACCCTTGGGTGGGCAAAGCCTGTACTACATAAAGACTGCTACAACCCAGCTTGCCATTTCTGACAGTCGTGTGAGGACTTGAGACTGCCCCCCCCACATATGGGGCACTGACTCTGGCCTGTCCCCAGCACACTGGGCCTGCCATGTTGCAGAATCGAGTGAAGGGCTACTCCAGAACCAGCTGGGGTTAGCTGTAATGGACACAGCAAAGCACAATCCTGCACGGCCACAGGAACTCCGAGGCAGGGCAGAAATGTCTGACTTCCTGTGAAAACCTGAAGGCTCGGGACAGGCCTGACAATGCAGAGCATCTGCTTAGTTTTGTCTCTGCGTGTATGCGTGTGTGTATGTGTGGTGCTGAGGGCAGAAAGCAGGTCACCACAGAGGGCACTTAGATTAATAGAAACTGTCTAATGGGAAGAGAGAGCCAGTAACAAGCCTGAGCCGTCGGCCAGACAGTTTATAATCAGTATGTCTCTGTGTGCTTATTTGGGGCTAATCGGCTGTGGGACCAGTCTGCAAAGAAACTCCAGCCACAGGGGGTGGCACTCTACCACGGAACCACAGTCCAGCCCCGAGTGAACACTAGGCAGGCTCTCAATGCTACATGGCTGTGGCCCGTAAGCTACGGCCCAATGCTGTTCTTCCTTCTTCCTGCATGTATGTCCGCACACCACATGCATCAAGCAGAGTCCAGAAGAGGGGGGGTCAGGTCTCCCCCAGGAGTGGAGTTTCAGTCAGTTGTGAGCTATCATACGGGTGCCGAGAGCCAAACACTGGTCTTCTGTAAGAGAACTAAGAGCCTCAGATACGGGGGGGGGATGATGGGACAGGATGGGGGACGGACATGGTACTGGGTACACCAGATCCCTGTGCGCAATCCCCCTGACTCTCCAGGAACCAACATCTACAATAAAATAAGCTTACTAGACGCCGGCCAGAACGACAACAGCACTACAACGCACGCATGCAGCCCACAGCAGGCACTGGGGGTCCTCTGTGAGACAGCACGCTACGCGGTCCTTCTTACCGTAGCCTTGCTGCTGCCCCGGGTAGTTCTGTTGGTTGGGGTACTGCTGCTGGGAGTAGGTCTGCTGCTGCGCTGAGCCCTGCTGGTACCCAGTCTGCTGCTGACTGTACTGGGAGTTTCCTGAGGGAGGAAGGGGGCACAGTCTCATCCCCGGGGAGTGCCAAAGGGCCCCCGTCACCCACGGGACAAGTGGGTAGCCACGGAATCCTGGCACCACATCACCAGAGGCAGCATGCCTCTGCAGTGGCTCAAATGTCAAGTGACATTTCCATCTTACTACATTACAAAACGCAAGCGAAAAGCCAGATAATACAAAACTGGTGATGGCCGGGCGTTGGTGGCACACGCCTTTAATCCCAGCTCCCGGGAGGCAGAGACAGGCGGATCTCCGCGAGTTCGAGGCCAGCCTGGTCTCCGTATCCAGTACTAGGACAGCCTCCAAAGCCACGGGGAAACCCTGTCTTGTAAAACTAAAAAAAAAGAAAAAAAAAAAAGGAAAAAAAAAACTGGTGATGTAACTGCTAAAATAAAGGGTAAAAACCGAACATCAAGTTCTCCTCCACATGGCAACTGTCAATGCGACTGGATTCAGAACCACCCAAGAGACACACCTGAGTGTGTCTACGCAGGCGCTTCCTGAAAAGTTTAAGTGGATGTGGGAGGCGCCATGCCCTGGACTGGGGTCCCGGACTGAATAAAGAGAAAGGAGTGAGCCGGGCGTTGGTGGCGCACGCCTTTAATCCCAGCACTCGGGAGGCAGAGGCAGGTGGATCTCTGTGAGTTCGAGGCCAGCCTGGTCTACAAAGTGAGTTCCAGGACAGCCTCCAAAGCTACAGAGAAACCCTGTCTCGAAAAGCCAAAAAACAAAAAAACAAAAAAAAGAGAAAGGAGTGAACTGAGCGTCAGTCTTTGTCTCTTCACTCCCCGACTACAGACGCCATGTGACCAGCGGCCTCTCCGACATACTGCATACTTCAAACCGCGAGCCAAAATGAGCCCTCCTCCAAGCTGCCTTTGCCAGGGGTTCTGTCCCAGCAACAAGAAAAGTAAAATACAGCCCCCGAAGGCTGTCTTCAGTTCCTGAGACATGCCCATGACCCTAATCAGAGACAAGATCCAGGGCGGACGCTAAGGATGGGGTGGGGTCTGTGTGAAGCCAGAGAAGTGTGAGCAGATACACAGAGGCCACGTGACAGCGCAGGAGACTGGAGAGTGTTTCTCCAAGCCAAGGGACAGCCAGACTGATGACAGCCAGCAGCCGGTGGAGAGGCCTGGAGCAGACCTGCTGCGAGCTGGCAGACAGTGGGTCTGCAGACAGCATGACCTCAGATCTCAGCCCCCAGAGGGAGATGCTTCAAGCCCCTGCTGGGAGGTTGGACATCAAACAAGCAGGCCACAGCAGAGGTGTGAGAGGAGGGAGTGCCCCGCCTACCATGCGTTTGATTTAGAAGGAATAAAACAGGTAAGTGAGCTGGGTGGTGGCACACACCTTTAATCCCAGCACTCAGGGGGCAGAGGCAGGCAGATCTCTGTGGGTTCGAAGTCAGCCTGGCCTACAGAGTGAGTTCCAGGGCAGGCTCCAAAGCTACACAGAGAAACCCTGTTTCGAAACAAAACAAAACACACACACACACACACACACACACACACACACACACACACACGCCAGGTAAATGACTGCAGACTGTGAAAATCAAGCCTGAAGGGCTGGCTCAGAGTGACCAGGCAGGAAGAAATCTCAAAACTGTGGGCTGCATCAGTTTGCCTGCCGGTGTCACAAACACAAACACCCCCCTCTGCTTTTTCCTTACAGAGTTGTTCCAAGATAGTAAAAGTCAATTAATTACTAAGAAACAGTTTGGAGAGAACGACTTGGAGGCTTGAGAGTGCTCGGCTGCTCTTCCAGAAGACCTAAATGTGGTTCCCACAACACTTACCAGGTGGTCCACGACCACCCACAACTCCAACTTCAGGGGATACAACACTCCCTTCTGGTCGGAGAATACCACCTGTGAGAGTGTAGGAGTGCACACACACACACACACACACACACACACACACACACACACTAGACAAAAATAAATATATATTTTTTAATTAACACGTATCTACATCTGCTAAGTCCTGTGAATCCACGACTCTCAGCCTGCTCAGGGCCCGTGCACCTCCTCTCTCTTCCACACTCTGTGGCATCCCACGTGTGATGCCTGTCGGTCAGGATGGGCGCACTCACAACACAGAGACAGACAGACGCTACAAAGCAAGGCTCTCTGCACAGCCACAAGGCAACACACAGATGTGTCCCCCCCCCCCCCGGTTGCTACAGCACCACCAAGAGTCTCTCCATGCTGAGGCCACGGGCCCTTTGCAAAAGATGCAACCCTACTGGCTCATGGGCCGCTCGGCTGGAAGGATGACAGCCGTCTGTCCCCCAGCATGGTCAGACAAACCCTGTCCCGTTTCCCAAACATACACGTTAAGTGAAGTCCCAACACACAGCCCGGCAAACCTGACCTCACAAACCTACCCCGGCCATCTAATACCCATCTGTGGACGCCTGTCTATTACCATCGACGACTTGGCTGAGACTCCTTGAGGCCAGCGCTGTTAGCTCCAGGAGTGTAGTATCATCGACTGATGGCCCCGTGCCGTGTTTACACACTAGGGTACGGTACGTGCCCCCCCCCATGCTCCTTACCCCCCTCGTAGTAGTGCTGTGTGGAATCCTCGAATGAGCGGTCGTAGCCCTGCTCTGTGTAAGACGACTGCTGGTAGGTGTAGTCGCCGTGGCCTGCAAGGAACAGGCAAGCAACTGTCAGCTGGAGGGGTCTGCCTGCCCAGGTCCCGGGGGACAAACGGGCTCTGCGGAAGTGAGCTCAGGCCAGGGGATGATGCAGAACTGGCTGAGTTGACCTCTCTAAGCCCCTCTGTTCTGTCTGTCCGTCTGCCTGTCCATCCCTCCCTCTCTCTCTCTCTCTCTCTCTCTCTCTCTCTCTCTCTCTCTCTCTCTCTCTCTCTCTCTCTCTCAAATGCAGGCATCACCATCACTGTGGCGCTGCTCCCAGATGTGGACAGAATCAAGCCTTCTTGACAGCACCGGCTGCTCTCACCGGTATCTGTCCAACGCCCGGGGCTTCCTGGGTAGTGGTGCTATGACCACGGAAAAAGCCGTTGGGACATGCCACCATCTCACCAGGCATCACGGCTTGCTACAAGACTTGTCTCAGCCACCTACCCTGCTCTTATTCCCAAATCCCAGACGTGCTCCCCACCTTACTACGTTATTGCTTACACCAGGGCCCTGACCAGGAGTCCCCCAGAGACCTCCACTGCTATCTCTCAGAATAAATATATTTAACATAGATATTTACTGAGACAGGGTCTCCAGATGTAGCTGGATTCAAATTCTTAATCCTCAGGCTTCAGTTACCTGAGAGCTGCGATTATAGTCATGGGCTACCACAGCCAGTATTTAAGGTCTCGTGACAGTTGGCGGAAGTGAGGGCAGGAGGCTGGACGCTGGGACCCACCGTGTCAAACACACCTGTCAGCGACAGGTGGCTGACAGGTGGCTCTGCCCAGTTCAGCCTCCTACCACTCTCTCTGCAAAGAGAAGCAGAGAAAACCCAGAGAGGTGGACGGTGTCCCACGTGGAAGATTTTCTTGTTGGAGACTGGCCTCGGTCACGCCCCAGCGTGCTCAAGCTGAGGGGATCCAGAGTGTTTTGCCGGCAGGACACGCGCAGGGCCTTAGGTCTGAAGGTCAGACCGCCAAGGAGCTGCCAGCAGCACGCCTTACCGTCTGGGTAGTACTGTTGACTCATGGGCTCCGCGGCACCCTGGCTGTGGCTGTACTGCTCGCTGTAGTACTCCTCCTGGCCCAGGTACTGCTGGGAAGAGCCTGTGGGGGATGGGACCAGACACTCAGGACCAGCCGGCAGTGGGTGAGACTCGCTCACACACCTGGCTCAGCAGCAAAGCCATGCTAAGCAGCCTTGCCCGTGGGAGGAATACACCCAGGACCATTCATTCAAACACCAATCCTCCCTCTCCTCTTAGCCCAGCTGCCCAAACACTCTGGAACTGGAATAGCCACCACCTGTCCGCCCCCCCCCCACCCCCAGCCCCAAACATCTGCTCTCTGGGCTAGTAGATGCTCACACCTACACGCCCAGCATCCTTACCCACGCCACGGAGCAAACATTATGGCCCACATGGGGAGATAAGACCACTGGCTCTCCTTCACCACGGGCTGAAGTAGGTCTCAGCCTTACCTTGCTGGGAGGGTCGGTAGGGCGCCATGGGCCGCTGTCCCATCATGCTGCTCCCCTGGCCACCCTGGCCCATCATGGCAATGGGCGCCTGGCCCTGGTAATGCTGGCTCCCACCCTGCGCCGAGTTGTAGTGGGACGTGGCTGCCTGCTGGTGCATCATGGAGACTGCGGCGGGGCAGAGATCCCAAAGTAAGTCTGAGTGGGGACGAGGGACGACGCACCTCGCCCTGCAGACCCGACCCCCTCCAGATCTACTCTACCATCATCTCCCGTCTGGGTAGGATGGTACCCTTGTTTCCAAACCGCACCTCTAACAACGTGAGCTGCATCTGAGCACCACCTCAGCCGTCATAACTACCGTTTGGCTAACAGAGGAAGAGGAAGTGGGTCCTCAGGGCCCACAGCTCCCGGCGGCAGAAACTAGAACCCTGTCCCTTCCCTTGTCCCCAGGAATTGTCTTGAAGGAGTCAGTGTCCTCTCTCCACTTCTTGGGGCGGCAGCCCTACTATGGCTGCAGGGGACGGCACCCGCCCACCCGCCCGCCCACCCACCCACCCGCCTGCCTGCCTTGGCTGGGCTGCACACTGCTCAGGACTCATGGGGACAGCATGACCTAACAGAAACCTAACAGTCATTTGTTCTAAAGTTTGCAGAAAGCCAGGCCTGGTAGAGCACACCTGTCACCCCAGCTACTCAGGAGATGGAGGCAAGAACGTTCTAAGTTCGAGGCCAGCCACGGCAACTTAGTGAGGTGATGCAGCTCACCAGCAGAGCCCTTGCCTCCCAATGCATGAGGTCCTGTTTAGTTCCCAGCACTGAGGGGAAAAAAAGAAAGAAAGAAAGAAAGAAAGAAAGAAAGAAAGAAAGAAAGAAAGAAAGAAGTTTCTACTATTATATTGAAAAAATAAAACAAGCCCGGTGGTGACACCACACGCCTTTAATCCCAGCACTCTGGAGGCAGAGGCAGGTGGATCTCTGTAAGTTCGAGGCCAGCCTGGTCTACAAAGCGAAAGAAACCCTGTCTTGAAAAACCAATCAACCAAACAAACAAACAAAAAGTGAAGTGGTCTTTAACTAAGTACTATAACCACGTGTTTGTGGAATAAATCTGCAGTGTTACAATCACAGAAAACACTAGGAGACACCCCATCTTGCTCTGAAATCCCTGTCTCTGATGCTCAGGGGACATCTGGATTGGGACCCGCCACGTCCCAGGCCCTTCATGATCTCACAATCGGCCTGGACCTCTGGCTTAGTATTGATGACCCTTCATCTTTTCTACCTCTAACCTTGGCCAGGGTTCCCCTGTGTAGGGAACCACTATACCTTCCCCGAGACCAGTGTTCATCCAAGCAGCACCCTGTCCTTGGAATTCCGGGAGGTATCTGAGACAGCACTCAGGGCTGAGTCACTGTGTATCAGCAACTCCGGCCCAGTGGAAACGCCTAGCTTGAAGAGTCACAGCATCCACCAGGGCCACACAGACAAGCTGCCCATGTTTGCTAGTGGCGTGGGGCCAGGTGGAGCGGCAGTACCTGGGTTGGACTGCATGTTGATGTTGGTCCGAGACACGTAGTTGCTGATGGCACCTTGGCCTTGCATGGGGACGCTCTGCGAGGTGGGTCCCGAGTGGCTGTAGCCAGGCCCAGTACCGTGGCCACTGCCCGACATGCTCATGGAGGTTGTGGGCAGTGTGCTCTGGGCCGTCTGCTGCATGGACACGTGGTTTGGACCTGCCAGGACGGGTGGGAGAGGGCGCGTCAGGCACTGGAGGCCAGGTAGCTACCTTAAGGTAAAGATGTCTAAGTTCCCTTCCAGCGATTTGGAGGGGGAAGGTTAATCCCTGGTCAGTAACACTAACAAAGTAAGTGACTCATGAACAGACACACGTCATGCGTTGCAGGTACCGAGAGCCCCCAGTTACTAGTTCTTATGTTGTAGCAGCCGCAGCAGCAGCAGCAGAGGCCACCCTCACTTCATTCCAGGGTCCATGCAGAAGAACACGTCTATACATTCAGTGGACAGAGTCAAGTGGAACTGGGCACTTGAAGTCAGCTTCGTGCCCTCTGCATATTTACGCCCCATTGCCCCCCCCCCACTTAAGGCTTAGCCGAGTACCCGTGGTCACAACAGTGGGAGAGAGGTGGCATAGGCCAGGCCAGGAAGGCACTGTGCCCGGCAATGCTGGGTGTAGGCTGTCACTGCAGCCAGCGACCTATGGCTACCTTGGTGACATGACTGCAGCAAACCTGCTCACCGTTTCCGATCTGGCCCTGCATGAGGGAGGCGGGGGGCAGGCCTGTGCTGATGGCATCACTGAGGCTGCCCTGGGGATGCAGGCCCTGGCTGGACCCGCTCTGGCTCAGCGCTCCGGGGCCCAGGTTCATGTTCTGGGTTGGTGGCTGTGGACGACAGGAAGGTCAGGACAGGGCAGTTAACTCAAGAGAATGAGCACCAAAGAGCCACCCCCAGGGACATAAAGAATTGCACAGCTACCTGCCAGCAGGGGTGTTGGGCTATGATAGAGACCAAACATGACATTCAGAACATAAACCAGTTGGCCAAGTGTCTCAGCACCCACAAATCACCGATGACCCAGGCCTTGCACACGCTGGCTTCCTGCACGATTATTTCCTTTGTCCCCTCCCCTCTCATCCTCCATCCCCTCAGTTAAACACGAGGTGTGGAACCGAGCAGGAAACTTCCCTAGATCAAACAGTGATTCCAAAGGTTTGCGCGCGCGCGCGCGCGCGCGCACACACACACACACACACACACACACACACACACACACACACGCACGCACGCACGCACGCACGCACATCTGTACGTAGCCGAGAAAGGGAGCCCCCGGACCAGGTCTGGTGCTGCAGGCTGATGGCCTCAGCTGAAAGGTGGAGGCAGGAGGATGGCAAGTTTAAAGCTTGTCTGGGCTACACAGTGAGGTCAAGATCAGTCTGGGCAAATATAGTTGGATCCTAAAACTAGAACTTTATTTTATTTTATTTTATTTTGGTTTTTACGAGACAGGGTTTCTCTGTATTGTTTCGGAGGCTGTCGGTCCAGCCTGGCCTCGAACTTACAGAGATCCGCCTGCCTCTGCCTCCCGAGTGCTGGGATTAAAGGCGTGCGCCACCACTGCCCGGCTTAGAACTTTATTTTAAGAAGTAAAAGGAGAACTGAGGACACAGCTTCATGTGCACAAAGCTCCAGGTTCGAGCCCCCAGTCCTAAAAGCGAGAAGGGCAATGTCTAGCAGGACCAGCCGGGACCTGCAGAAGTGCCCAATGGACATGACAGCTGACCGAGGTGTAACGCCACTTATGATGCCTCCGCTCTCCAAGGGAGCAGTGGTACCAGGGGTGAGCCATTCCTGGTGACGTGCCTGGCCCTGGCACCTCATAGTCAGCCTCTGTCATCCTGGGGTGTCTCCCTCTCTTGGCCATGTTACCTCACGTGGCCACAGGCACACGATCCAGCGTCACAGTAAAAATTTAATTTGGGGAAAATGCATTTACAGAAGACCAAACAGACAATAAGATACTTATTCTAACATTTGGAACATGGCTGCATTGGAGATTTTTTTTCCTTTCAACTTTCTTTTCTTTAAGACAGGTTTATACTGTGTCGCTTTAGCTAGCTTGGTACTTGATATACGGCCCGGTACGGCTTCAAACTGACAGCAATCCTACTACCTCAGCCTCCCAAGTGCTACTATTAAAGGCATGTACCAATCTGGCCTAGAAAGATTTGTTGTGTTTTGTTGTTTTATTTTAAATTCCTGGCAGTGCACCCACACGCATAAGAACCACTCACACCATTTGGAGGGGTTTACAAAGCATGAGGCCCTGCATTCATGCCTCGGCACCACGAAAAAAGAAGGGTTTACAACCAAGGCGAGCCCCCGCCCCCCACCCCCACTCCCACCCCACACACACGTGGTCACGACACTGCTAACACTCCTTGGTGATGACTCTGTGGTCACTTCCCCACACCAAGTCGTCAAAAGTCCCAATTCTACCTGTCAAGCCATTAGTAACCTCACCCCACGTGACAGGGGTTTTTCAGAACCACCGATCTCATGCCTGATAGTGCCGGGTTGCCGCTGATGGTCACCGCCTACCCGAGGTGGCGGCACTCAGACACCCGGTGGCAGTACCTACCGCAGGAAGCAGTGACTGCATGTTCTGGTTGGAGTCTGCGATCGTGGCCAGGTAGACCAGGTTCCGGTGCAGGATCTGCTGGTACCTGTGGGAGATACACCCAGGTGAAACAGGGAAAAGCTGCCGCGCCCCCCGCACCCAAGGCAGAAGCCAAGCAGCCAGGCTCCAACAGGACGCTCAGGCCGGGCTGGAGATAGGCAGCTGCAGCTCTCCACTGTCCAGGAAGGGGCAGGCAGGGAACAGGTCTGGCCAAGCCCTAAACCTGGGACAACCCTGAGATGTCAGCCCTCCATGGAAGAGGGGAGGCCTAAAAGATGACAGAGGGAGGACCGGGGAACAGAGCCCACTCCATAGTCAGACATCAGGCTAACTCCATGGCAACCTGAAGAGCCCTATAAGGAAACAGGAAGGGGCCAAGAGGACCGAGGACCCTCAGGCACATCTCACCCACACACACAGCAGCTGGCAAGGTCTCGGGTCTCTCAAACAAGCCGCACCAGGTGGGGATCTGGGCCTCTCACACACCCCATACCCAGGAGGCTCAGGGCCCTCATGAAGGTAAGAGAGAGGTCTGAGGTACTTTGCCCTCACATAGGCATGAGCTGCCTCCTGACTGGGTCTCCTACTGGCCCCATGGACAGAGGCTGTGGAAACCCCTTCTCTCTTTACCCCAGATGGTTCCCACCTCACTTGTATTCTCAGGGCCGCATGCGACCTTACTCTGCTCTGTACCCAAGGAGGCTTTCCCGGAGCACGGAGAAGGGGAGGGCCGGGCCCTGGGCCAGCACGGTTACTTACTGGGTGCACTCGGCAGTCTTGCCCTTGCTCTGGTAATCCAGGATACACTGGATCAGGTGGTGGTTCTCATCCAGCATCTGGAGGAAGGCAAGCAAGACACACGATGGTCACACGGCAGCTGGTTCCCAGCCAGGATGCCAGGATCCTGGGGAGCCCACTGGGCCACTCACTCCAGGTCCCAGGTCCCTACCCAGAGAGAGAGCTACAGACCTTCAGATCACAAATGCGCAAGAGGTTAGGAGGCAGCTTAAGTCTCTGCTGGCTATGCTCAGCCTGCACCAGCGAGGGGCATGGCGGCCGGTAGGAGGCACTGCGGATACGCAAGATTTGCCTAAACACCGAGGAGACTGACTAGGGAACCACAGGCCTACCGAGCTACAATCTCATCCCTTTGGATCTCCTCCAGCCCCGAGCACAACGCGAAAAGAAGTGGCATAGAAGGCCTGGGCCGCACTCTGCAGAGGTCAGCACTGCTCCGAGACTGTCTTACGCATGACACAGGGTCCAGATTTGAAAACAATCTCATCGGGTGACAACAGGTGAATGGCCACACGTGAACATGTCGGCGGAGATGGGCCGTGGGCTCCCAGAACGGTTGCACAGGCCAGAAGCTTAGTTCCCAGGAGTATGGAGTTGGTTCTCATTGCACCAGGGGTAGTCCATACTTAGCACTGTAGGGAACGGGTCAGACACGCAGGCCCCAGGCCCACACCTGCACCGCTGGTGACGCTGGAAGGCACTGGGCCGAGCTGCCAGGGTGTCCTGGAGGCACTGATACGTCTGCACTCTTCCCAAACCCAGTAAGGCAAGGGTCTGACCCCCATAGACCCCAGGGCTGGCGCATACGTGCTGGCATGTCCTGGCTTCGATGACGGGTAGTACCGAGTGGGACATCAGGGACACTGGGCACGAAGATGCCTGAGAGCGAATGGGAACCCGCCAAAGTTATAGGCAGCTATGGGACAGTCCCCTTGGGGCAGGACTTTAAACCACCTGAGAAGTTAGCGGAGATGGGGGAAGGGGTCTGTGTGTCAGGGGAAGTGTGGCAAGCCAGTGGGCAGAGGACAACCTGTAGATAGTGTTGAGCCGCTTTTTAACCGGACACACTGCTGCTTCCAGCACCACACAGGGCCTTTGCTCAACTCTTCACAACAGGCAGAGCCTTCCTTCACCATCACCAAAAACACATGCTCCTTTAGGCTGTCCCTCCCTCTGCTCTGCAGCCTGAGTCCCTGAAATGCTTCCTGCCTAAGGCCAGCTCCGCCCCTCAGCCTGTACAACCTCACAGGTTCAGACACCTCTCCGTTGTTCTCCTTCTTGCGATGAGGTGACAACACATCCTGTGCCCACCAGGGGGCATGAGGAAATACCGAACTGTTACCACGTTTTAAGAGTTTGCTGGTATGTGCAGACACGTGTGCAGGTACCCAAAGAAGCCAGAAGATGACGGTCAAATCCCCTAGAGGAGTTATAGGTGGCTATGAGCTGCCCAATGAGGGTGCTAGGAACTGAACCTGGGGCCTCTGCGAAGGCAGTGCATGCTCTGAACTGTCTAGTCAAACCTGCAGCCCTGCCTTCTTAAAACAGCAAATGGGGTGCTAGCTCTCGGGGTGCTGGCTCTCGGGGTGCTGGCTTGCTTAGTTTAAAAACATTCACAGGAAGTTGGGCATGGTTGCACATGGCCTTAGTCCTAGCACTCAGGAGGCAGAGGCAGGTGGATCTTTGTGAACTCGAAGCCAGCCTGGTCTACAAAGCAAGTTCTAGGACAACCAGGGCTGTTACACAGGGAAACCCTGTCTTGAAAAACCAAAAAGCAAAACCAAAAACTAAAAACAAAATAAAATATTCAAAGGAAAGACAGGACTCACGGCAAGGGTTCCAGACACCCCCCCCCGCAGACCTGCCTTCAGGGCATAAGCATGGTATGAAATTCCAAGGACAGTGAGAGCAGGTCATGAGCTGGCAATGGTGTATCTGAGGGAGAAAGAGCTCCTGGGATGTCTCTGTGGAAAGGAGGAAGGCAGAGAGCACCCCACAGCGAGGACTACAAAACCTCACCACTCTGCCCCATCTCAACAGGGCTAACTCATGATGGCCAGCATCAGCCTATGGAGGAAAGTCATTTCAGGGGCAAACACTAATACCAAAGACCAGGATGCAGGCTGGGGGCAGACCATCTGCCTAACGTGTAGAAGTTCAGTCTGGTCCCAGTCTGTTCTCCTGCAATGCCTCTTAATGGAGCAACACAAAACCATAAAGAAAAAAAACAAAAACAAAAACCGGGTGTTGGTGGAGCACACCTTTAATCCCAGCACTCGGGAGGCTGAGGCAGGCGGATCTCTGTGAGTTCGAGGCCAGCTTGGTCTACAAGAGCTAGTTCCAGGACAGCCTCCAAAGCAATACAGAGAAACCCTGTCTCAAAAAACAAAGCCAAACAAAAAAAAAAAACAAACCAAAACAACAACAACAAAAAACCAAACCTAAATTCAAAACACAACAATAAAAACAAGTTACTATACAAATGAAAGATAACAGGGCTATTTAAAATTAACACAGGGAGCCTGTTGTAGTAGCACTCCAGAGGCAGAGGTAGGTGGATTTCAGTGAGTTCCAGGCCAGTCTGGTCTACAGGTTTCCAGGACAGGCAGGAATACACAGAGATACCTTGTCTTGAAAAACAAAAATAGGGCTGGAGAGATGGCTCAGAGGTTAAGAGCACTGTCTGCTCTTCCAGAGGTCCCGAGCGCAATTCCCAGCAGCCAAAGGGCAGCTCACAGCCTTCTATAACGGTATCTGGCGCCCCCTTCTGGCCAGAGCCTTAAGTGCAGACAGAGCACCCATATATAAATAAATAAATCTTAAAAGAAAAAAAAGTTGGGCGGTGGTGTCTCAGGCTACTAAACCAAAACATAACACAAACAAACGATAAAATGAACACATGGCTCGGGAGATAACTCAGAGGGTAAAAGGTACCTGCCACCAAACACAACCTGAGTCCAATCCCTGGGACCCACACGGTGGAAAAAGAATTGACTCCCACAAGTTGTTCTCAGACCTCCACTCTTCTGTCACGGCACCCATGCACAGGTATACTAAACAAACAAATAAAAATAAATGTAGTAGAAACCACAGGGAACCCCCCCGTCCCCCGATAAGCTCTTAGAAAATATGTCAGTGAAAACAAAACAAATGTTGGGCATGGCAGTGTGTGCCTGTAATACCACATCTGGCAGGCAGATAGGTAGTCAAAAGTTGAAGGCTAGCCGGGCGTTGGTGGCACACGCCTTTAATCCCAGCACTCGGGAGGCAGAGGCAGGCGGATCTCTGTGAGTTCGAGGCCAGCCTGGTCTACAGAGTGAGTTCCAGGACAGCCTCCAAAGCCACAGAGAAACCCTGTCTCAAAAAACCAAAAACAAAAAAAAAAAGTTGAAGGCTAACCTGGTCTACACACATAGTGAGTTCTACGCTACACAGTGGGACCTTGTCAAGAATCAAAGCAAAACAACAGGGTCGTAGGGGTGGCGCAGAGGTCACGGGGCATACCGATCTTGCAGAGGAGCCAAGCTCAATTCCTAGCACTCACTCAGGAAGCCCACAACTGCCCACAACTGAAGGAGTATCTAGATTAGACTGGTGAGAAGACACACCCGCTATGAGTGGTGGGTAAAAAGGAGACTGCAAGCTGAACACAAATGTTCATCTCATCTCCCTCCCGGGGAGAAAAACTCTCAAGACACAGGATGTGAAGGGGGAGCGAAACACTCCATTCTGTAGGGAAGCTCCTTAAAAGACAGGAAGTCAACTCAAAACAGCTTTCAGGAAGTCCCTGAAACTGACCAGAATTTCCAGGCCTCTGCCTCCCAAGACGGCAGTGAAGACTCTCAGGTGAGCCTACCCATCTAGAGAGGCTCAGACCAACTGAGCTACCTGGAAAGGCACGCTCCAACCTGCTGAGCTGCCCGCAGCCTGCAGCCTGTGCCGTGTGCCGTGTGGTCCAGCTCTGCGTGCATTGCGGAGGCCTTTGGTGACGCAGCTGTCTAGCTGTCTCTGCATTATTTCTACTTCCATAAGTATCCCCCTCATCCATCTACTTCAGTAAGTAACCCCAATAAAGCTCAACTGGACACTGACACGAAATCTGTTGTAGGCTCCCTTTCTGGGGTGAGTAGATGTGAATGTTGTGTCTTTCCAGGAGAAAACTTGTCACACAGCACCCTCTGCTTCCTGGCTGTGGAAGCAGTATGACCAGCTGCCTCGAGCTGCCACCACCACGGCTCACCTGCCACCACCACGGCTCACCAGCCACCACGGCTAAATCCTTGAACTATAAACAGAAATAACTGGGGAACTCTTAAGTAGCTTCCTCTCAGGCCAGGGGAGAAAAATAACTGAGACACAGCCCATTATAGAGGTTCATGATCTGAGGATATTTCTAGAAGGCTGATGACTAACCCAAGGGCACTTCCGGGAGAATGCTGCAGCCCTACCGCTGGATGCCACCCTTGGAATGCTCATCCCACTGCAGAAGATGTGAACTGGCCATGTTAGTTTCAAAGCAGTCCCGAGAGGGCACGCAGGCGGGACTCACGGGTGGTACAGCCTTGTAGCCTCACAGCCATGTTTAACACAAGTCCAGGTTTGCAAAGATTACACACACAGACCGCAGACACAATACATTCCCACCTTCCTGAGACAACACACGTCAACAGTTCTGGTCCTGAACACCTTTGGCCGGATGCTTAGAAAATTGAGTTAGCACAGCTCAGCACAGTCAAGTCATCCCGCCTCCATGAAAGTCTCCATGCTGAGGAAAGACACACCAGACGGCAGGTGACGATCAAATCCAGCATGTTCGGATGAACCTGAACTGCGTGCCAGAAGCTGCCTTCACAAGATTCTGGGCTGCCCAGTTCCGTAGCAGGCTTTCTTTTGAGCCACCAACCGGCTCCCAAAGGAAGACACGGAGGCTTACTAATTATGAATGCTCGGCTCGTTTCTTGCTAGCTCTCATAACTTATTTTAGCCTGTTTCTCTGCATCTATCCTCAAGCCTGACTCCTCCTCCTACTTCTTCTCTCCGCCCACCAGCCCCACTTAGTCCTCTACTGCCTAGCTATTGGCCATTAAGTTTTGTCGTTGTTGTTGTTGTTGCTGGTTTTTCGAGACAGGGTTTCTCTGTGTAGCTTTGGAGGCCGTCCTGGAACTCGATCCACCTGCCTCAGCCTCCCGAGTGCTGGGATTAAAGACGTGCGCCGCCACCACCACCTGGCCGCCATTCAGCTTTTTATTAGACCAATCAGGTGCCTTAGGCAGGCGAGTCAAAACAGCAGCACATCTTTACTCATTAAACAAATGAAGTACAAACAAGTGCACAGCTAGAATACTGTCCTACAACACTGGTTTCTGCCATTTCCGACCAGAGCCCGTGCCAACTGACCCTGAAACGATTTAGCCCGTTCTCTACCGCTCAAGTGCCTTTAACTCAACACCATCTTCATCCCAAAGGCAAGAAACTGAGGCTCAGAAAGCAATACGTGAACTAGAACTGATGAAAGAGAATCCTGAGTCTGGGAAGCCCGAGGAGCCCTGCTTTGGTCTCCTGCAGCCCAGGGGAGGACCCTACACACACACACACACACACACACACACACACACACACACACACACACACACACACACACACACACAAGCACAATCTGAAGACTGGCACAAACGGTTCCCGCCCACAGCCTGCTCTGCACAGCGTTCCACAATCCCTCTCTCTCCCTCACTGCTCACACCCCCAGGCCTTCCATTCCCCTTTCACATGTCACACTCTAGGCTCTGGGGCCTCAATACAGCAGTCCCACGCCTTGTCTGCTGGAGGTCATACCTAGTGCTTATCGGCGTACCTGCTGGAGGTCAGACCTAGTGCTTAGTGTACCTGCCGGAAACAATGCATCCATTGCCCGTAGCTTGGGGGGACTTCCTGAAGTGGCCCTGGGGCTCTAAGCTCAGAGACAGGTGCCAGGCTAACCCCGCTGGCCCAGAAATCTAGGAACATGCCGAGGGCAGAGTGCCATGCGCCAGAGAGTACAGGTGCTCTCTCCAGAGGCCCTCAAAGGAGAGGGGTGTAAGGAGGCGGTGGGGGGGGAAAGGAAAGTACGACGATGACACTGAATCCTGTTCCAAGTGTCTCCTTGTAGACTGCGGAACAGATGTGAGGGCAAGCAGCCTTTGGCCACAGATAGATGCCCTCTCTGGAGTGTCCAGCAGGAGTGTGCTCCCAGCCACGCTTCACCGAGCAGCAGGTTCCCAAAACACCCTGTCCCTGCTTCAGCAGGTTCCCAAAACACCCTGTCCCTGCTTCAGCAGGTTCACAAAATACCCTGTCCCTGCTTCTCCCCATCCTAGGAAGGCAGGGCTCAGGCTGAAACCATGCAGGGTGGCTGCTTGCCCGACAGAAGGCAAAGACACCAAGGCAGCTACCCAGGAGTCATTATTCTGCCATTCTAGTAGCGGACTCACTTTCACAAGACACTCGCCATCGTGGGGACAGCTCTGGCCAAGTTACCTTCCTAACTAGATTGGCCTGGAGACCCGAGTTCAATCTCTGGGACCCACGTAAAAGAGTAGAAGGAGTATGTTCCACAAAGCCGTCCTCTGACGGCTACATGTACACCGTGGCACGTGGGACTGTGCTGATAATAATGACGGTAGTGACAAAGCCAATACAATCAGCCTCGCTCAGATATGCAACTTTTATTGTGTAATTGCTGTGTGAAAACAGCAGGGGGCGTCCGGTTGCCCCTCTAATAGGGAAATGCCGTTGCGGGAGTCACTGCACCGTACCAGCCTGGGTGTATCCGGAGCACAGTGTATACACCGGTATACTATGGCCTTTAGCTAGTGGAGAGAAAGGCAGGGTTGGCCGGGGGTGGGGGTCACTGGAGCCTGTGAAGGCCCCAGCCAGCTGCAGCTCCATCTCAGGCTCTCCCAGGCATACCTGGGCACGCTGTCCTCAGCCAAGCACAGTTCCGACCAGTCTCTCTCAGGTGCGGGTGCTCTTGTCACCGCAAGGGCACCTGCTTCAGGTCAGGCCTGCTCTCCAGGCTTCCACTCTGGGTCCCCACTCCCCCGCTCCATGCGGGCCCACATCCAGGACTGCTCACGGCTTGCTCAAATCTCCCAGCCACCCCCCCCCCCCCCCAAACATCTAAACTTGCAAAGCGGGCCATCTGCAAATTAATAGGTTGCCATTATCCGTCTGAGAGGAAGAAACGCAGGCAAGGAGACCCAGGAAGAGAAAAACGGAGACCTTGCTGCAGATGACGACACCAAGCAGCCATCAGAAGCTGAGGAGGTGGGAGGAAGCCTCCTTCAGGATGGAGGGATGGAAAGAAGGAAGGAAGGAAGGAAGGAAGGAAGGAAGGAAGGAAGGAAGGAAGGGCAGGAGGGAGGGAGACAGGCAGGCCCTCCTTCATACCTTGACAAGGTGAGCGAATAAAGACTGCTATGCAGGGAAATTGTGGGCCACTAATTCACTGGCTCAGGCAGGGCCTAGGCATACATTCTATTGCATGTAGGGAACACTAGCTGCGCCCAAGTCCCATGCAAAACTAGGGACCAGCAGCAGATATCTCGGTCACATGCTAACTCACATGCCACCAACAATACCTCAAAGTCCTACTGTGGCCTTGTGACTGGTGAGAGATTAGCAGGGGACTTCTGTGTGGGACTCTGAAGGCTGAGCAGGACTTGCCGCTCTGAGAACAAGCTGTTAACTTCCTTTGCTCTTTGCTCTTGCCCTCCACCGAGTCCTCTCAGGCATCCCGGGCCTTCCCCCGTGTGATCTTAGCGTGGGCAGGTTAGCACACATGATGACTGGGCACGGAGGACACGCACTAGAGGCGGAGTTTAGATATCCCCAGCCCTTGGCTTGATAAAGGGTCTTTTTTTGTTTTGTTTTGTTTTTCAAGACAGGGTTTCTCTGTATTGCTTTGGAGGCTGCCCTGGAACTCGCTCTGTAGACCAGGCTGGCCTCGAACTCACAGAGATCAGCCTGCCTCTGCCTCCCGAGTGCTGGGGTTAAAGACGTGCGCCACCAACGCCCGGCCGATAAAGGGTCTTGCTTTTTATTTATAGCTTGGGCTACCCTTGAGCTTGACATGTAGCTTCAGGCTCCCCTCCAGCCTACTTTAGACCCCTCAGCAAAGGATCCATAGAGTCAGCAAAGTGGATCGCTGGCCCTACCAGGTCAAGTACCTTAACAGGATGAACTGAAGACCTGTTTCTGGCCCGGGACGGAGGTCAGCAAGTTTCCTGTTTGTGATCTGATGTTTGGGGCGGACCCCCAACACACTTTAGCCTGGAGGAACTGAGGCACTTCTGACAAGCAGGTGTGGCTACAAAACTCTGGGCAAACATTGAAGCCAAAGGTGGGCTCCGAGAACGGTGACCACCGTCAAGCTCCAACAGCCAGAGCGCAGGGATTCTGTCGGGTCTTCCCATGTGTGCCGAGTGCTTCACCCTCCATCAAACAAGGCTCCCAACCCACGGCCGCAGGGACAGCAGTCCCCTGGAGCTATCACGGAAGTGCGGCTGCTGCTGCTGCTGCTGCTACCTCTACCACTGTAGCAGCCTCAGTTTCCTTCCCCAAGTCACCTCAAAACAGTTAAATGCGGTAAGATCTATAAAGCCTAGAAACACCATAGCATAGCGTCCCGCAGCTCTCACGGAAAAACAAAACAAAAAAACACCACACTTGAAAACCTGCATTTCTGCTCTGCTCCAATAATCTCCCCTGCCCCAAAGCTCAACCACTATATTCCAAAGAGGAAAACAAAACAAGGGTGAGCTGGGAAACAGACAAGCTGAGGAAATACCCACAAGCCCCTCAGGTCATGAGGGACTAAAAAGCCAAGGCCCTTGGGGACCTAACCGGCTCAAGGGAATTCACAAATTCTTCTGTAGAAGGAACCCCCGAACTGAGAAAAGCCAGAGCGTAGGAAAGGCGCTCAGAACCGAAAGACAACCGGTAAAAAGCTGAAGTGTTCACGTCAAAACTTAGAGCTTTTGTTAAAGACGTCCCCTAACCCATGCAAACGCCTTCTCTGGAAAACAGTAGCCCGAATAAAGGATGGGACCGAGACTGTAGGACGAAATCTCCGTCGTCTGAAGTCTGGGTGCAGGCAGCGGGGGGCCCGCCGATGCGAAGTGACCCGAGAGGGGGGCGGGGCCGCGCTGGCCTCAGGTCCACCCGGGTGCAGCGATCTCGGGACCCCGCTGCGGGCCGTGGGGATGGCACGCACACTTTGGATGCGTCCCTTTGTGCCGGGGACCGCAGTACCTCACGCCAGCGGCCAGCTCGCCGCAGCGGCGCGCCACCAGGCTGCCCGCGCCCCCTTCTCCATTCGCCAAGCTGCGCGCAAAGGCGCGCGACCGTCGCCACCAAGGCTGTCAGCGGAGCGCGACGAACCCCCGCCCCGGCTGGAGGGGCCGCAGGCCCCGGCGTCCCGCACTGCTGCGTCTGCTGACAGGGGCGCTCTCTGAGGACACCGCGCGACGCGCTCCGGGGTCGCCACCCCCTGCGGCCGCCGGGCCCCCGCTGCCAGCGCCTCCGGCAAAGTTGGCGCAGGCTCTCCTGGGGGCGCACGGGGCCGCCCGTCAGGGCTCCGGCTGCCGGGCTGTGCCCCGGCTTTGTTCGCGCCCCGCGCCCACCCTCACCCCGCACCCCCGCGGCCCTGCCCACCTTCTGGATGGTCTGCTGTGTGACCTCCCCTTTGCCTCTCGGCCGAGCCGACGCGAAGGCCACGGACATGGTGGCAGCGCGGACTCAGCCCGTGATCATTGGGGTTTATTCTCCGGCTGCGCCCCGCGGCCCGAGGTGCCCATTCTCCGCAGCGCGGGGGCGGGGGCGCGGGGGATGCCGTGCCGGTGGGCTCGCCCGCCTGCCTGCCGCCAATGCGCGCCTGAGCCTCCCGCGTCCCCGCGCCTTAAGCCACTGCCTTTCGGGGCTGGACCCCGCGCCGACTCCCCCGCTGCCCGGCCAGCGCTCTGCGTCCAGCCCGCCGCCGCCGCGCCGCCCCCTGTGCAGGGCTTCGGTGGTTGCGCCCGTCCCGCCCCGCCCCGCCCCGCCCCGCCCCGCCGCGCCGCACGTCCCCCTGACGCCAGACGCCGCGGACGCCAGCAGCGTGGCCCGGGCGGGCGGGGCGCAAGCGGTGAGTGTGCGCTTTTGAGCGGCGGCGGCCCTAGCTCGCGCGTCCGCCGTGATGAGCTACGACCGCGCCATCACCGTCTTCTCGCCCGACGGCCACCTCTTCCAAGTGGAGTACGCGCAGGAGGCGGTCAAGAAGGGCTCCACTGCGGTGAGCCGGCCCAAGCGAGGCCTGCGCGGCGGGGCGCATGGGGAAGCAGAGCGCGCAGACCCGGGAGCTGGGGGCCCCGCGTTCTGCTTGGCGGCGGGTGGCCCGGGAGGTGACGGGAGCCGAATGGTGGCGACCTAGGAAGGAAGCCGGGCCGCGGGGACTGCGCCGTGCTCCCCGGAGAGCCGGGCGGCTGTGCCAGGCTTGCTCGCTGCAGAGCGTCACGGCGAGCGCATCCCCGCGACTGGGCCGGGGCCATCTTGGTGCCATTTGCGCGGCGCGACCAGGGAGGCCGCAGGTGCGCGCAGGAGGTGGGGGGCTGTGAGTCGGCGCCGGCGGGGACTTGGGGACCTCACAGCTAGGCCAGACGGGCGTTGTGAACAAAGGGCGGTTCGTCGGCCCTGCGACGGGGACGGGCTGCTTCCGGGTTCGCCTGCTCCACCGACGCTGTATTCTGGTTCCGGTGGGCCTCTCTGGCTGCACCCCAGTTTTTGCTCAGGGATCTTAGCACGATTTGGAGATGGGGCCGTCCGACACCTGCAAGCGTCAGCAGTGAGACAGCTTTGTGTTTTTCTTTTTCCCGAGTCACCGGGTCTTTGGGAAACACACGTGGTTCTGAGACTTGAAGCACTTGCGTTTCCCGAGTATTTAATCGCTTTGAAACTAAAGTCCCAAATCTTTTGGTGACTTATACCACCCAAAAAAACTCTAGAGGGAGCAGGCTTGGAGGAGCAGGCCTGTAATCCTGGCATTTGAGGTTCCAAAATCTCAAGTTCAAAGTCAGCTTAGGCCTCTAGAAGAGAATCTATCTCTTTGTGGATATGTATTATTAATTCCTTTTTATGTGCATTGGCGTTTGTGCCTACATGTGTATCTGTCTACGGGTGTCCGATCCCCTGGAACTGGAGTTAGTGGAGCTGCCGTGTTAGTGCTGAGAATTGAACCCTGGCCCTCTTAACCCCTGAGTCATCTCTCCAGCCCCAAGAAGTAACGACTAGTGACGCTCTTATTAAAAAAAACAGCTGTGCAGTGGTGGCGCACACCTTTAATCCCAGCATTCTGGAGGCAGAGACAAGTGTATCTCTGAGTTCGAGGCCACACTGGTCTACAGAGCTAGTTCCAGGACAGGCTCCAAAGCTACAGAGAAACCCTGTCTCAGGGAAAAACAACAAAGCCCTGTGAGGCTGCAGAGATGGCTAAGCTGGTAAAGGCTTGCTCTAACAAGCCTGAAGACCTGGTTTTAGCTCCCCTGACTGCTGTGGCATATTTTGGTCACACTGTGACACTCTAGACTGTCAAAGTTTACCTAGAATCAGGGGACGGAGCCGGCGACTAGCTGATGGGTATTAGCCATAGAGAAGCAAGCAATTTCAATACTGAAGACATGCAGGAAGGAAAGGGGAAAAGTCGGGACTAGAATTTGAGCTTCTTTTTGGTTCTGGGAGGAGGGCAGAAATGTGTCTCTTGAGGTGTCTCCAGCCATAAAGCAAGTTCAGTTAGTCGTGCCTCAGCCTCCCTGAGCTAGCAGATTTTCACCCCAGCCTTTGACTCTTGGGTCTTATTGATAAATAGATACATAGAGAGACTTAATTTAAACCTGCATACGGCTGCAGGACCAAAAGCCCTGCCAGGAGTGGCCAGCGGGGTGCATGATATGGACAGTGGGGCTGCAGACAATAATTAAAATATCAGTTGATTCATATGCCAGCCCCTAAACTGACAGAAAAAACATCATTTGGTGCCCCACAAACGTAGCAGCTTAGGCTTGTTTGCAGGTAGCTCTTACAACTTAATTAACCCATATGTTTTCTTAGTCTATTTTCTGCCATGTGGCTCAGCTGCCTCTTAGTACTGCACAAAATCATGTGAGCCTAGATTCCTTCTCCCAGTCTCTCTGCCCAGAAGTCCCGCCTGTGGCCATTGAGCTCTTTATTAAAGCAGTCAGAAAGCACGTTAGCCAAAGACACATCTTGGCGGTAAGCAAATATTCTGCAACACCCACCCACGTTTTTTTTTTTTTTGTTGTTGTTGTTGTTGGTTTTTTTAGGCAGCTTCACACAATGGCATCCCAGCTCCTAGGAGGCAGACTGGAGGGGTTCTCTAGGCTTGCTGGTCAGCAAGTGTAGCACAGTCTCTGAGCTCAGGTTCAGTGAGAGACCTGGTCTCGAGAAAACGTTAAGTTGGAGGGGCTGCAGAGGTGCAAGCAGAGGGCTGATGAGAGTTTTCAGCACCCAGGTCGTGAGGCCCAAAACCGACTTGAATTCTAGCTCCCGGGGATTCAGCATCTCTGACCTCCATGGGCAGAGGTACACAGGTACACAGACACACGCACAGCCTATTTAAAAAATGAAACCACTTTTGAAGTTGGAGAAGAGATGGAGGAAGGCACCGTTGTGGACCTCTGACCTCTGTGTACACTAAGGGGCACACCAAACCCTAGGAAAGCTCTGGAATCTGGAGGTGACTGTTGCACCCAGCTAGCTTCTCTGGACCCTGCGGGTCACATGAGTCAGCGGGGAAGGACCTTGTAAAATCACTGCAGATCGGGGGTGGTGCGGGCAGAGCTACTCCCTTGGTTGGACCTTGTAGAAGGTTCCTGCATCCAGGGATTGGGAACGGGGATGCTGCCCCACACCGGAGCAAGTTGCCACCTAGTTGTGCCCTCTGTGCCCAACTGCCTTGTTTAGGTATTGCTGCGACTTTCTGTTCCCCCCTTGAAGGGTTCATTGTCAGTGAGGTGAATGGGCTTGTTTGGTTTGGTTTGATTTTGTTTTTGGGTGCTAGACAATAGACAAGTACCATTTTTTAAAAATTTAATATGCCTATAGCCTTTTGTCTGCAGGCCAGCAGAGGGTACCAGATCTCATTCAAGGTGGTTGTGAGCCACCATGTGGTTGCCGGGAATTGAACTCAGGACCTCTGGAAGAGCAGTGCTCTTAACCGCTGAGCCATTCTACACCCACAGCCCGGTCTCTCTTGTTTAAACAGTGGCCCCCTCCTCCCTTCTGCAATACCAGGCATAATCAGGGACTGGTGTGTTATAAACTAGCAGTGGGTAGTGGTTCGCTTTGTTGTAACACACTGGGACCTACCAGCAGTGTGTGTGGTGTGAGCGGGCATGCGTACGAGTGCAACTCAGGCCCCCAGCACCTGATGCAGTGGTTTACTAGGCCTTGGGATTGTGTGCAGGACGATTTAGCTGCATTACAATCGTAATCGCTGTAGTGTTTTAAAGGCAGGAGACCTGGACACTCGGGTCCTGATAACTTGTCCTAGGCCACGGGAGTGAGCTATGTCCTTGGTGTGGTACAGCGTGTCAAGCGATAGGCCAGATATGGATGGGCATACTTCCTGTGGTAATCTTGCCCTGAGCCTTGTGCCCGACTAACCCAATCCCACTCTGCTGTGCCAGAGATTAACAGCTGTCCTGTTTATGTAACACCCCCCCCCCCCCCCAGGGTTTCTCTATGTAACAGCCCTAGTTGTCCTGGAACTAGCTTTGTAGACCAGACTGGCCTCGAACTCACAGAGATCCGCCAGCCTCTGCTAATTCTTTAAAAAAATTTTTTTAAGATTCATTTATTATGTATAGTGTTCTGTCTGCATGTATGCCTGCAGGCCAGAAGAGGGCACCAGGTCTCACTATGGATGGTTGTGAGCCAGCATGTGGTTGCTGGGAATTGAACTGTGCTGTTAATTCTCTAGTATAACTATTCTCCAGTTTCTTCATGTGGGCACTTAGTGCTATGAACTTTCCCCCGTAGCACTGCTTTCAAGTGTCCCATAGGTTTGGGTATGTTGTGTCTTCATTCTCATTGAATTCTAGGAAGTTGTAGGGGCTGTGGGAGAACAGCCAGTCCTCTTAACTGCCTAGCCATCTCTCCAGCCCCTGCTTATGTAATTTTCTTTTTTCAAGACAGGGTTCCCGTGTAGCTTTGGAACCTGTCCTGGAACTCGCTCTTGTCACTGCCCAGCCGCTTATGTAATTCTTAAAGGTGACTTTTGCATTCTCGTTTAGGTTGGTGTTCGAGGAAGGGACATTGTTGTTCTTGGTGTGGAAAAAAAATCAGTGGCCAAGCTACAAGATGAAAGAACAGTCCGGAAGATCTGTGCTTTGGATGATAATGTCTGCATGGCCTTCGCAGGTACAGGGGGCACCAGGGATGGCGAGGGGAACTCTGGTACCAGTCGATCACGTGCTGCTTTTTAGAAAGGCTTGCGGAGGCCGGTGTGCCATCTTTGTGTTCAGCCGTGGTGAGGAGTGGCCCTGGCGAAGCCTCTGCTCTTGTTTCAGGCCTCACTGCTGATGCGAGGATAGTCATCAACAGGGCCCGGGTGGAGTGCCAGAGCCACCGGCTGACTGTGGAGGACCCTGTCACTGTGGAGTACATCACCCGCTACATAGCCAGTCTGAAGCAGGTAAGGGGCTTCTTGGGTACCATTGCCAGAGCTGCCATGTGTAACTTCAACAGAACGGTGCTGTTGATTCTTCTGGCTCTGGTTTCTGGAGGGAAGTGCAAGCGTTGACCTTGCTACTGTTGAGCTACCGTTTGACAAGCAGCCGAGAGAGGGCTTCTGAAAGGCACCCCTGCTCTGTGGTAAGATGCTAGTGAACTGTAGAGCCAGCTTGTAGCTGGAGCATGTCTGCCTGTGTTGAGGTGACTTCCGGGAGTCTCAGTTAAGATGTGTGATTCAGGGGCTAGAGAGGTGGCTCAGC